GTGGAGGCAGCTCAGAGACCCTGAGCTCCATGCTGGGCCCACCTATGGCCACATCCTGCAGCATGGGGTGGAGACATGCAAACCCAGGGTACCCTACTTGCTAGGCCAGAATGGGACTCACCTTCTGCCAGAGCATGATGAGGATGATGAGGGAGATGATTGTGAGAACCACCAAGGCCAGRATGGCTGAGATCACCACTACCTTGAAGGGAAGGGCTGGGGACAGAGACCAGAGCAGGTCATGAGCCAGCAGGGAACTGGGTAGCTGCTCTCCCCTCTCCCACGGCAGCCATCAAAATCCCTTCCTACCCATTGTGCCCAGACAGAGGTCCCACGTCCTCTATGGCCTAAGATGTCAGATCCTCAGCCTCTTGCTCTGGGCCACATCTTCAGCCTCTCTTATGAACCTCCACCCCTCAGTCACCACCCCTAGTGTCTTCGGCCCCTCCAGGGTTAGTATTGCATTTCTGCCCCAGCTCTAGGCTGGGTGCAAACCCTTTTCTGGGTTCCTATCCATTGCCTGGGTCTCCTATGAGACTAGGAGCCCCTGAGGGCTGYGCCCTTGTTGGGCGTCACAGCAGGTCAGAGCTCTAAGTTCCACGCCTGACCAAGTGGCCAATGGACACCATGACCTKCCACTGAGGGAGTCACAGGCTGAGCCAGCACGGCCAGATGAATTCAGACTCAACAAGGAGCCTGCTCCCCACCACCAACCACCCTTTTCCACCCCAGAGCCCATCTAGGAGTGGACAGTGATGGCAGTTAATAGGGCTAGCAAGGCCCCGAGGTGCCTGTGCCTACTCTTACCCAAGACCTCAGCCTCTTCCCTCCCTGGCCACCCCAGCCAGACCTTCATCTCCCCTGTCCTGCCCCACTGGCTACCCAAGTGTCCTTTGGGAATTTGGTTCTTCCTCCTCTGTCCCCTTCCTGCCCTTCTCTCATCCCCAGGGAGCCCAGTCCTTCCTCATATCCTCCTCAGGGTCACAGACCCACACCTCTCTTCTGCTCCCTCTCTCCAGCAGTCTCACACATCCAGGGTCTGAGAAAAAAGCCTGCATCCTCYAGGRAGWCCTCTGAGTAAAGAGGAGCTGCCATACAGCCATCTCAGTCCCCGGGGTTAGGATGCGTGACATCTGCCTCTGCAGGTGTACTTCTGCCTTCACTCAGAGCTGATGTGCAGGTCAGGATGTCCACACTGTCTACCCAGGTACCCACCTGCTCAGGCACGTGTGTACGTGCACAGGAGTGTTGATGCGATAGGATATTTTWAAAAACCCACCCACACTCATAGGGCAGGTACAAGAGGCCGGTATGCTCAAAAGACACGCACACGTACCAGGTCACTAAGCCTGCCTCAGCACACAAGTGTGCACCAAGCCTTATGTGCACCTCTGATCCCTGCTTGCTCTGGAGTCTGCCTACCCCAATAGCTCCACTCCTTCCCACTTCCTTCCTCTTTTTCTCCCCACCCCATACCCCAAAATTCACATGCACTCCCTGCTCCAGGCAGCCTGAATTCCTTTACTTTCTTAGAACCTGCCCTGCCTCCAGGCTCTTGTCCAGTCCCCTCCTTCTGACTGGAACACTTCCGCTCACCAGGCTATTTTAAAGTCACCCCTCAGGTTTGACCCAAAGGACTTTTTCCCAGAATATTTCCTCAATCCTACAGCTGGCCTCTTCGCCCTCCAGGCTTTCTCCCCAGGGTGGTGATCCCAAGATTGCTTATTCCCACCACCTTGTCCCCTGATCTTAGGCACTAGGAGGACATCAAAGCTGATCCTCTGACCTCAAGAAGTTGGGCCCTCATAACTATTTATTGAAGAAGAAAGGTGAATGAATGAAGTGCATTCATACAAGGGCACACATACACAAGAATGGGCAGCTAGACATGCAAACACATCTGTGCACTGCTAGGACTGTTCACATGTGCAAGATTTGTGCATGTAGGTGTCCCTTCTAAGATATATGCACTGTACAGCAGGCATATGTGTTCAGGTATTGTGCTCACACATTTTTCCAGAAAAGTGTGCTGCAATGACATGCTTACAGACATGCACTATGACWCTTGACACATGCACAGGAATTTCACATGTATTTTTTGTACCCATGTACGGGGTTTTATACACAGGCCTTGGAATTGGGCATGCTGTACATGGCTTATATACATATATTCTGTGGGTTTACACACAGAGACAAGCTTCATGCATGCTTGGACACATACTTACAGACATATACTCTAGCTTTATTCGTGTATCTGGGCTTAGGCATTCTTCAGCACAAAGTTTACAAATCTACACACAGAAAGTTTACACCTGTGTCCTGGGATGAGGCCTGCTCAAGTTCATCCAACTTACATTCTCTCTGTAGAAGCAGACTGTGCTGCTCAAACCATGGTTTCTACACTCGTGTTTGTACACGTGTGCCCATTATGTATTGTGTATGGTGCAGAGAAACATAYTCTGATGGATTTCACAAAGCTCCCGTGTACCTAGGGGTATGCTGACTTGGCTCGCTAAGGGGGCATGGGCTGGGTCCCCAAGTATGGCAGGATCAAGGTGGGGGTGAGCTGGGGAGACTCACAATGCGGCACCACGGTAACCTCCTGCACATCCTGGCCCAGTGGGTTGTGCAGCATGCAGCGCACCGACAGTGGCTGATCCACGTGGCGCAGGCGCAGCGTGCTCACCACCTCATATTCCTGCTCCTCCGCCCAGTATGTCACATTAGTCTCCAACTGGCTTTCCTCCTCGGAACTGTTCCCCAGCGGTGTGGGCGGCAGCTCGCGTGGACACCTATCCAAAAAGACCAGGATCGACTTGCAGCCTCACCTTTCTGCAGACGTGGAGACTGAGGCCAAAAGCAGACAGCACCGCATAGTGGAGAAGTGCATGTCCAGTTCCTGTGACCAGCTGCCTGGTCCTAAGCGGGTTCCTCCAGTGATTCTCTAAACTGATCAGTAGGTGGCGCCTCTGTTCCAGAATTGAGATCCCTGGATTGCAAAATCCACTCCTCATTTTGACCACCAAAGTGACAGTGTGTTGAGATAGAATCAGAACCTCAACTCAACCCTGCCTCTAGCCACTGAACCACCATGAGCCCTAGTCAGAGGAACATCTACTGGGTGGGTAAGGTCTTTCTGGGCACAGACCCTCCACTGAACTGAGCAGAGGATAGCCCAGGTGTCAAGGTAAGAAAGAGACAATTTAGATCATGCAGAGCATCTCCAAGGAGGTGATGGAATGGTCTTCTAGGGTGTGGCTCCAGTCTGGAGCAATGTGAAAGAGGAAAGGGCAGACTAGTGAGTTCCATTGGGTCCTTCTAGCCTGCTGGGGTACCCTAGGAGACTAAGGTCCAGGATCTGCTCACCTTTTGAGGTCTCTGCAGGTAGACCAGGTGATATTTGGCTGGGGCATGCCTCGGCCCCGACAGCGGACTGTCTGCTCCCCGTTGGCAGGGTGACTCTCGCTCAGCTCCAGCACAYGGACAGGGACTGCATGGGGGAAAGTCCAGGATCAGGAGGAAGGTGGGAGGTGAAAATAGACCTCAGGGAGACCTGGCCCAGAGCCTCCATCAGGGTGAGGGCTGCAGACCTCAGGTGAACACTAAATAAATCCCTTGGAGGAAGCTGGTGGATCTCCCCCTGGGCTACTTCAAAGGGAAAGTCTCAGTAGGGGGCTATCTGTACCTAACACCTCTCTGAGACTTGCTCACCTTCATTTTAACAAAGAGAGAGAACAGGCCTCAAGCTCAGAGCCCTGGGCAGCCCAATTCATGAAACTGGATTGAATAACATTTGTCTTGTTTTCTTGGAGTTGATTTTAGTGGTTGCCTGATATTTATGACATGTGATGCTGATTTTCCATCTACAATTGAGAGGTTCAATTTTGCCTTTCAAAATATGTTTATTTTTAGAAAGCTAATTGACAAAACATGAAGTCATTCCCATGGCATTCCTACACTCAAGTCCCTGCAATGACTTTTCATTTAGGTCACAGTAAGAGTCAAAGTTGTACCAGACCCACAGGCACCTACACATCTGCCCTCTCCTCGCCCCTACCCCATCTCTGTTCTGACCTGATCCCCTGCCACTCTTCCTCTCTCCCTCTTCTGGCCACAGGACTTTCTGGCATTGTTCTGGCCCTTGCACTGCCAGGGGTGCCATCTTCCCAAATATCCACTTGGCTAATGCCCTCATCTTCTTCAAGTCTTTACACAAATGTCACTTCCTCAATCCAGCCAAAGCAAACAAGGTCAATACTGATTACAATATTTAAAAGTGTACCTCACCAGCCCCCTGTGCACTGCTCTCTCAATCTTCCCTACCCTTCTTTTTTCCCCCTTCCAATAGCGCCTATTACCTTCTCATCTGTGTTATGTGCTGGGATTTCGTGTCCTTCTGTTACATGTTTGTCTTCCCCCAAAGGCAAGGCCTTAAGAACTTCCAACAGAGAAGCATATTGTAATTGCTTAATAAATATCTACTGGATTAGTAGTATCATATAAATGGACTATGAGAAGGAAAAATCATGCCATTGGGACATGAATGCMCAAGGTTTTGGAAAACACCAGTCTAGCCTGATGGCCTCCTTTTACATTTGGGGAAAATGAGGTCCAAAGAAGGGACACAGCAGGTCAATGGTCGTGAACTCAGCTTCCTTAGTTCCAGATCCCTCTCCAGCCCCTCCTATGGGTGGGAGGACAGTACAGGAAGAGGAAATGGGGACAGGGAAGAAGGGAAGAGGGGACTGAGGTGGTCCTCACCATTGACCTGCAGCTTGAAGGAAAGCTGGGCCTCAGCATCCTCATGGAAGGCCCGCATGGTATAGTAGCCAGCCTCTGCCACCTTCACCCGCACCAGCGTCAGTTCCGATACATACCTAGGAAATCAWACAGGCCAGGAAATCCACTCACTGTCAGAGCTGGAAGAACTCCCCCACCTCCCACCTTCTTTATACAGACAGGGAAAACAAAGCCCAGGGAGGAGAGGGGCTTGCCAAGGTCACACTGTCAGAACCAGGACTCAAACCTAGTCTCCTGAGTCCCCAGTTATAAGCAATTCCACTAAACCAAGAAGGGGACAGAAGGATTGGGAGGTTGGGGGGGGGGGGTGCATGATTCCCTCTCCCTCCACAGGAGGAGCCTAACATGTTTTATTCTAATTTATCGTTTCTCTGTTAATCTCCAGCCTTGGGGACATCACAGGTGGCAGTGAGTGGCCCTCCTGGCACTGTCTTTTGGTAATCCTGTTTCTGTTTCCCCCACTGACTCAGAGACCCTGGGCATACTGAAATTCTGCCCCGGTCCCTGCAGTATCCCAGTGTCTGGCACCAATCCTGGCACGCAGTAGACTCTCAGGAAAGGTGGACCTAGGTTTGTCGTGGGTCTGTGGGCTGCTTGGTAGCTCCAAAACTTCAAAAAATGGAGTGGGTAGCAGCTGCTTACCGGGTCTCAGACACATTGCGCGTGGACAGGGCGATCTCCCCGGCGCTGGAATCGCCCAGAGTGCGGTTGTCCTTGAACCACAGCACAGTGGGTGGCGGGTAGGCTTCGAACACCACTTGTAGTGTCCGACTCCTGTGCAGCTCAGCAATTTGTATAGCGCCCAAGTCTCCCAGAAGCCGCACGTAGCCGCTCTCTGCAAGGTACAACTATTAGGGGCCGACCCTGGGGGCGGGGCTATTCCCAGGCACCAATGGGGTTGCACGTCCCAGGGGCGGAGCTCCTGGAGGAGGGGCATCAGCTGAACTGCAAAGGAGCCTAGACTTCTGGGGCAGAGGCTTCAGGCTTTAGGAAGTCATTCAGTGAAGGACTAGGGTTGAAGTTGGGGCTGAGAACGAATTTGGCTCTGATATTAGTGTTGGAGCCAGTTTTGAGGTTGAGACTGCAGTTGTAGTTCTCTTGTTCGGTTTGGTTTTGTAACTGAGGTACATTGGAGTCTCAAACCAGGGCCAAGGTTGAATTTGCAGATGGGGYTGCCCAGGCCTGTGATGCGTTTGGGATTAGAGATCAGATTGAGGCTAGGGTTCTGGCTAAGCAGAAAGTCTACTTTTGGATTAGGGTTGAATCAAGCTGACACTGCACTTTGGTTTGGATTTAACCCCAGAATTGGGGCTTTGACTGGCACAGAGTCTAGTGCTGAACTGGAAAATGGTTGATTGTACCCTAGGGCTGTGCCAGGCTCTGRGTCCAGTTCAGACAGGGGTTAGGAACTGATTCCAAGGCACCCACCGACCACAGTGACATTGATGGCCTTTTCATCTCGATGGTCATTCACACTCTCTGACACATTGCAGATGTAGGTCCCTGAGTCATCCAGCTCAGCACTGGGGATGTGCAGGATGGAGCGAATGTGGGAGGGCACATCAAAGAGGAAATCTGTCACTGGCTCTACGAGGCGCCCACTCTGCAGGAACAAGTGGGGCAGGTTCTCTAAATAAGCAGGGGTCCATGAGAAGTCAGTCTGCAGGCTGAGCTATCCATCCTTGCCTGGTCCCTCCCCCAACCRTGGCCCAGCATTACCTCCATGCGGGGGTAGGTCCACTCAAAATTGACCACCTCATTCCCCGTCACAATGCACATGATGGTAATGTTCTCACCCTGGCGAACCACAGTCTGCACTGCATTCACTGAGACATTGATGGAGGAAACTGGAGGAAAGAGAGGGGCTTAGGGCTGGGGAAATCACACCAGCCACCAGTACTTCAACTTGGGCATGGGGTAGGGGTATACAGAGTGAAGCACTGACTGATGGAAAATTCATCCATTCAAAAAAAATATTTATTGAATGCCTGCTATATGCCAAATATTTATTTTAGGCACTGGGGCTACAACAATGAATACAATAGACAAAACCTTTGTCCTTGTGGCGCTTACACTCTAGAAGGGGTAACAGTCTAGAAATTAAAGTATCCTCTGGTGATCTAAGTAGAGGAGAAATTYACTGAGCACTCCTATTGTGCCCTGTAACTTCTATTTTTTGTTTTATTTAACTTCCACAATAATCCCATAACGTGGGCAGTAATTATCACCCTCTTTTATGAAGGAAGAAGCAGGTTCAAGGGATTATGGGCATTGTGCAAAGTCATTCAGATGGGAAGTGGCTGAGCTTGGATTCCAACTCAGTTGGCTCCAAAGCCTGTGCCTTTGCCCATCTAGTTACACAGCCCAGTTCACCACTGATGTGTCCCCTGACTGTGGGAAAACTCCATCCTCAATAGAAGCCTCAGTTTCTTCACCTGTAAAATAGGAGAAACACTACCTCCCTTCAAAGGTTACAGTGAAAACAAATGAAAAATAGAGTTATATACTTTGCAAACTGTAAAGGGCTATTCTTCTGTGAAGGGTTATACTTGCCTCTGCTGAAAATCAAGCCAAAAAGGGGACTCACCCTGGAGGCTGTAGACGTAATAGGCATCGGAATCCACTTCCCTCTCCCCAATGGTGGTTCGGCAGATGTAGGTCTTGTCCTCAAAGGTACCAGAGAAGCCTCGTTGGTGGTCATAGGGGATAGGCAGCGGAATGTCCTCTTTCTTCTCATGCAGTGTCACCACTAGCTGGGGGTCTGTCACTCGGCATGGAATTGTGGTCTCAGTTATTTCCGTGAGAAAGATGAATAGGTCCTCGGGCTCCATAGGGAGGAAGCCCATGGAGGGATCTACAAGGAGTGGAGCCAAGAATGAGTGAGGGTCAGGGGACCTGGGTGTCTGGCGATCCCATGAATTGCTGTATGACTTTGAGTAAATCTCTTCCACTCTTTGGCCCTCAGTTTCCCCAATACAGGAGAAGGATGGCACTATGGTTTAAATGTTGGTCTGCTCCAAAATTCATTGAAATTCCATTGCCWTTTTAACCCCAAGAGGGCTCAATGRTTGAGGTGGATGCCACTAAAAAAGGGTAAGTTTGCCAGGCATGGTGGCACATGCCTGTAATCCAGTGACTTGGGAGGTGAGGCAGGTGGATTGAAAGTTCRAGGCCAATCTCAATAATTTAGCAAGACCCTCAGCAACTTGGCGAGACCCTGTCTCAAAATAAAAAAAATAAAAAGGGCTGGGAATGTGTCTCAATGGTTAAGCATCCCTGGGTTCAATCCCTCATATCAAATAAAAGGTAGGGGGGGCAAGTTCAGTGCCCTCTGGCTCTCTCTTGCCTTTCTGCATTTTTTGATGAGATGATATAAAAGAAGTCCTTGYCAGATGCTGATTCCCTTGATATAAAATTTCCCATCTTCCAAAATTGTTAGCCAGGACATTTATGTTCATTATAAATTACCCAATCTCAGGTACTATTTTATAGCAGCAAAAACATAGTAGCATAAGAGACAGATGCTCAGAGCCCATTCCAGCTCTAACATTTGATATTGACAGTACCAGGGTAAGAAAGCAGACAACCCACAAGTTGGAGTATGGCTGGTACCTGGAGCTTGGAGAACAGGGAAGATGAGACATGGGGGCCAAGGGGGAACAGACAGCAACCAGCTAAGAATACAGAGTTCTTGGGAGGCAGTAATGGGGTTGGCTGACAAGGAGCAGACTGATATTCAGGCCAATGTGTGGAAATGAACACCCTGTTGAACTAGAGTTCATGATTCGTCTGCATTTCTAGAATGGCTGCATTTCATGGTGCCAATCAAGCAATCTCTTGAACTTCYCCTGATACCTTCAGTAAATGAGTGGCCATGCAGGTGGGAACCCTTACCRGGCACAAAGATGTAGAGCCGCTTCCGCTCACTGGGCTCCCGCCCAAGGGAGCTGTTGTAGGTACAAAAGTACTCTCCTGTGTCACCTCCAGTGACATTGGCCAGGGTTAGCATGCTGGAGAAGGTGCCCTCCTGGGTCCTGGACACTTTCTGCTGAGGCACCTGAGATAGCCGTTCCCACACCACTGGAGCTGAACCCAGGCAGGTCAGAACAAAGGTACTTGAGAGATTAAGTACAAGCTCTGGCCCCGGGGGCATGATGGTCAGGCCCTGGGAGGTCTGTGGACCTAGCAGCAACAGCATGGGCAGCAACAGCAACTGGCCTGGAGAGAAGACATCAGATGTCAAGGCACAGGGGCCTCAGCACGCCTCCTTGGGCTGCCCAGAGGCATGTGTGCACAGCCCCCAAGTCCATGAAAAACACATCTCCATTTCCAACACAGACTGGAACCCACTGCCCATGGTTCTAGAGCCTGCTCACCCAACACCAGGCCCCCAGGTACTCCTGACCTTTATCTCAGTCCCTTTMAACCCAGCCTCTGAGTTCTCCAGCAGTAATGCATTCAGGCAGCGGGCAGGGAAGGAGTCAGGAAATCCTTGGGAAGCAATTCCCAGGCCTCCAGTTCCTGCATTGCTTCCCAGGTCACTTTCTGGGCCTCTTCCCCCTGCTGCCCTCAGCTCCCTAGGTTCCCATGAAGCCCAGAGGTGGCCCTGCTTGGAAGAAGGTGAGCAGGAGGTACTCAGGTAAATTAGAGTGAAGTTGGGGSCTGCAAGGGGCTGGGATGGGGGGTGTGTGCTTGTGTCCAGCAATTGGTTCTCCCACCCCCACCCTTGCCCCATGACATCTTCTGGGGAAGGATTTTGTAAGCCACACTCCCATGCTTCCTGGGGATGAAAATCCAGAGGGGGCCCAGATAGGTGGGCAGTCAGGCAGCCAGTCTCTCTAACAGTCACCGGACCCACCCCTGGAGAGCTGAAGGCACATATCCAGCCAGACGGAGGAGAAATGGGAAGCCAGGGTGACTGCTAAAGGGTGAGGGGTGTATGGAGGGCTAAGGAAAGAATTTGATGTGATCATTTTGGACAGAAGGGGTTCACTGAAGGTCTCGGAGCTGTGGGTGGGCGGCTGAGGGGGCATCTATATAGACCTCAGGAAATGTAGGAAATCCAGGCTCAAGAGCACTGCAGTTTTTCTGGACTTGTGTCCTTATGCTAGCACACAGCCTCCCAGGGATAGGGCCTTTCTGGGGCCCCTACCCCTGCCCCGGCCTACTTACCTCTGAGGACCAGAGCTGGCGTCACACCTGGAAGCTGCATGATGTCCTGTAGAGTAAAACAGGAGTCAGGACCCGGAGTGGGCAGAGGCGGTGCCAGGGCCCCTCTGGTTCCTACACAGTAAAACCCTCGCCTGAGCTCTCCATGTCCGTGGGGCTGAAGTCAAAAGCCACCTGTCCCAAGTCTGAGAGGGCACTCATGACCCCAGGCCCTGTCCCTTTTTTTCTGACCCTCGTGTGGCCTTGGCTGGGTCCTATGCCTCTCTGGGCCTTAGTTTCCCTGCATGACAGTGGGGGTGGGGAGGTTGAGCTGGATAGTATCCAGGGACCCGCCATCTCTGACAACCCGTCCTCTGAGTGACAGTTCCAATACCAGGCTCTTATCTGCCAGGACAAATATTTGGGAAAGTGTGATGAAAGGCCTGGAGGAGAAGGAGGGGGGAAGCCAGAACCCAGAGAACTCCCAAGCTCCACAAGCACAACAGGAAATGGAGGCGGCTGTGGGAAGGGAAGCGGGGGAGTCAGGGCTGTGGAATGTGGGGGGTGGGCCTGGCCCCCTCTCCTCAGCCCCGCAGCAGCACAGGGAGGCCCAGGGGAGAAGGGCCAGGGGCCAGCCCCAGAAGAGGCCCCATGGAAATTAGCAGGCTTCGAAGGTGCTTGCAGACCCCTGAAGCCAAGCTCCCCACCTCCACATCCGGTGTCCAAATGGGGAAACCAAGGCTCTGAGAAGGAAAGAAGTTTGCCCAAGATTCCACAGAAGGTCCTGTCCAAGAGGGAGACAGAGAGCTGGAAGAAACAGAGACAAAGACATGGGAGAGAGAGAGCAGGAGATGCAGAGGAACAGCCTGCACTAGAGCCCCGGGGACAGAAGCTAGGGGACAGAAGCCAGGCCCAGAGAGACAACTGAGGTTGGGTGGAACTTTCTCGGTCCCTTCCCTTAGCAGCCTGTCATACCTTGGATCCCAAATAGTCACCCATAGCCAGGTATGCATGGTTCTGTCTGCAGCCTGACAGGAAGTAGGCCAGAGGTAGATGGGAGTCACAGGGCAAGAAATGTGGGAAGGGACCATGTGATAAAGCAACAAGGCGCCTCCTGATGCTGTGAGGCTGCAGACTTACTTTCTGAGTGGCTGCCCGCTCTGGCCACGCCCAACCTGCCCCCACCTCACCATCTCAGGCTTTCTAGTTTCCAGTCCAGAGCTGGGGAGAAGGGTTTGAGCCCCCCTCAGCACTGCCCCTTGAGCCATGGCTATCTCTTTGGGCTGAGTCTCCRGCTCTCAAAGTGGAATGAAGGCAAGGGTACCACCTACCAGGGCTGCATGCACAGTTTAAGGGAGATACAGAGACCAGGGCCTCAGCTGTGGACCCCAGTCTCAATTTTCCCAAGAGGAAATCAGTGTTTCTCCTCCTCCTCCCCTCCCTTCAGAGAAGCTTGCCTGAGTCCCCTCTGGTCTTCCTCTCCCCTCTCTAAATTGCTCCAGGTCAAAGCCCAGCCCTCCTGATACCCCTCTGCAGCGCCCCCATGCCCACCCCTCCTGTGCCAGCCCTTAGCTGGACACCAGGCCTCTTTGGGCAGGAAAGAGCAGTGCCCAGGCAGAGCAACAGCCCCCACAGGGGCCCATCTGCCCCTCAGGGGTCCCCCCTGGTTCCCCCTTCCTGCCAGAGATCTGGGCCAAAGAAAATCATTAGCAGCCCAGGTTGGGGGAGGGGGTCATCTCAGCCTCCCTGCCCCTCCTCTCCCAGCCTCCCCGGCTGGCCACACTGTTTATTATTCTAAAGGAGGAATTTGGCCGGTTGGCCAGGAGATGGGAGGTCACTGAAAGGGGGCTGGCCTGGCTCTAGAAGGCTGGGTTGGCCGTGTGGGCTGGGACCTCATGGCATGCAGCCCCTGACTCTGCTCTGATATGGCACTCTCTTCTCTCCCCTCAGGCCCTCTCGTGCTGGGCCTGGGGCTGGGCGTGGCTTAGAGTCTCTGAGACTAAGCTAGGAGAGACTCTTCTTGAATAGGCAGCAGAGGCCCAGAGAGGCACAGAATCATGACCTAGTCACAGAGCAAAAAGAGGATCCAGGCTGTGGGAAGAGGATAGGGAGGAAGAGATGAGCTCAGGGAAAGCGGAGATGCTTTGGGAGAATGTAGACACTTCAGGAGTCGTGGACTGGTTGGACTCTATGAAAGGAGCATTTTGACTCACCTCACAAGATTTGAAACTTCTATAAGACTGAGCTGGTCCCCAGCCTTCTCTGGGACTGTTTCCCTGTTTGTCCACGGAGAAGTTTGGATAGATCAGCTCAAAGAGCTGTCCCTATTTTAAGCCCTGCCTTTTTGACTGGTCAAAGAGAAGGTTCTGGTCACCATTATTCTCAAGAAAGTGGGGCTGGTCAGAAGGGAGGGCTACACTCCTAAGGACAGAGTCACATGAGAATAGATAAACCCATATCACTCAGTGCATCAGATGACTCTGACCATTTGGTCACTGACTTGCTGTATGGACTTTGACAAGTTGTTTCCTTCTCTGGGCCTCAGTGTTCCCATCTATACAATTAGGATTTACACACAGTCTTTCAGTGGACTTCTAGCCAGATGAACTGGGGATATGGAACCTTGCAGTGGAATGAGGAAAGACACAGGGACAGCRAGCTAGAGATCCAGAGGTTGGATGTACCACAATGGGGATCAGGGCATCCAGACATGACCTTGGACCATCGGAATGATTCTGGACCCTGCCAGTTGTCCACTCAATGCCTGTGGACCATTTTGTGCTTCCCAGAGGCTGCTGTGGTCTTAGGACAGGCAGCTGACTTGGGGTGGCATTTTGCCTATGACAACTTCCCTTCAGAGAAAGGGGCTCTGCTCCAGGTAAGAGCCACATAGGACATTTTCAGTGCCAGCCTTCCTTCCTACAAACTCTAGAACAGCACGGCCATCGTCATCAGGGAGCGGGCACCCACCACCACCACCACCACCACCACCACCACCTACCACACGGTCCTGCTGGGAGTTCCCTGGAGCAGAAAGGGGCAGGGTCCTTAAGCAAACACTGTGCCCAGAGAGATGTGCTGTGTGTCAGGAAGCCCTAAGGATCCCTCTGTGCAAGGTTAGAGAGACACAGGTCCAAAGATAGGGTCACCGCCCAGCTYCTCAGTGAAATGGAGGTCCCTTAGGGGAATGGACTGAGGGTCCCAAGTCCAGGACAGCACGTTCGGGGAATCAGTGGCAGCCCCAGCCTTCCCTCCTCCAAGCACACACAACTCCCCACCCCTTTCCCACCGCCTTAATCTAAATAAATCCAGTCCATCTTGGCCACATCCGCCAGCAGCRGCTTCCCTCCCTCGGGGTCCTGAGGCTCCCACGACATAAGCAGGCAGGGGAGGGGGCCCCACACGGGGTGAGCACATGCACAGAGCACAGATGGCTGCCTACGCACTCGCTCACACGCTCCTAAAACACATGCAGGCGCTCACCATGTGCATGCCCGTATAAAACACATGTCACAGGGTTCCTACCACAGCACTGACTGCTGCCTGTGTGCTCTCCAACATGCCCACTGGAGATGCACCATGCCTAACAGATCACCCATGTACCCAGCATACGTGACAGTGCAAAACTACGTGCACATGGGTCCCAAGCACCCCTGAAATCACATCCTTACAGATAAGCCAGAAAGCCCCGGGATGTTGTGTAGTGCTGAGCCCTTGATATATATAGGCTCATTTAATCCTCAGTCAACTCTGAGATAGAGACAGTAATTATTTTCATTTTAAAGGTGAAGAAACTGAGGCAGAGAAAACCTTAGAAATTTGTCTAGGAATCCAGACCCAAGGAGGGTAGAGCGAAAATGGAACTGTCTCCGTGCTCCATGCCACGCCACCGTGCTGCTTCTGTGATCACGGCGCTTGTCTGGTTGGGGCTGGGTAGAGAGTGGGTGGGCACTGGTGGGAACAGATGGAGTGGGGAGGGATTTCGCTGAGAATCAGCAGGACTGTGGTTGATGTTGTGGAGCTGGAGAGATAAGTTCCTGCGGGGAGCCTGCATCCCTGTTTCTGGTTTGAAATACTCGGGGACAGGAGTGTGTGTGTGTGCTGGGGAGATGATGCCATTTTCTGAGACGAGAATGAGACCAAAGAGCAGGATTGAGAGTTGCCACTGAGCTGGTTGAGAATGTGGAGGATCCTGTCGGCACTGGGTGGACAGAGGAACGCTCAGCCTGAAGGCAGAGAGCAGACCAGGAGAAAGCCCGGCTGCAGGGGAGGGGGCGCTTGCTTGGGGCAGGCAGACTCAGGCCAGGGATGCTCTGAATAAGCAAGATGCCCGAGGGAGGAGGAGGCCTGGCCATGGGTCATGGTGTCAGAGTCTTGGAATGTCAGGACTCCACAGCTCTCAGAGATCATCTATCTGATCCAAACCCCTTCCTGGGCCCTGTTGTCCAGCTGGAGATACTGAGGCTAGTGGATCAAGGACCCGGGGTCAGACTCTGGCTGCTGCCCTTCCCTCTGAGTAGTACTATTACTCAGAAGTGTCCCCGCAGTATCCCAGCCAGACAGAGATTGGTGATAGAGATTCAGAGAAGGTTGCCAGCTAAGCTCCAGTAGAAGTGGGACACTGATTCCAGTCTTCTGACCAGGAGCCTTGTCCTCTCTCCTCCACACCAGTGACACTTCATAGCCCCCAGGACAAACTTCACGGTGGGAATATGGGAACCTGGGTTCTTGTCCCAGTTCTGTTGTCACTTGTGTTACAGTCCTGCCCCTCCCTGGGCCTTAGTTTCCCCATCTGTACAACTTTGGGGGCTGACTCTTGCAACTCTCAGGACCCCGCTCTGGAAGGCAGCTGTGTGCCGTGGGGAGGAGGGGGGTGCTGGGGAGGGGCCCCAGCCRGGATGTCATGACTCAGCTCAGAGAAGGCAGCCAGTCTTAGGCCTGGGAGCGTGTGGGACTCACTCCGGAGCCAGGGAGTAAGTCCTCTGCCAGCAGCTGAAGAAGATGAGGGTGACAGCAGCACAGCCTGGACTTGGCAGAAAGTCTGGCCCATGTGGCCTTCCCCAAAGGGCT